AACGTTTTACTTGAAAATACCAAATGTTTTCGAGAAACGCAGTCCCATCCCATTCTAACGGGCAGCTGACCAGCAAAAACGCGCGCATTCGTTTGTCGACTTTTTGCGCTGCGAGTGGCGTGGACGGACTGCGAGGGGTTAACAGTTGACGCGGCGTTTGCTAAAAACTGAAATATGGCGGCGACGGGTTAACTTGGAAATCCTAAATTGGAAAATTATTCGTTCCTACCTCTCGTTCCTACCGCTGCAGGATCTACGCCTTGATCGCTATTAAAAACCCAACCAGTGAAGGTCAAGTTTGTCCCGGACATTTTACGTTTGACTTTATGTAAAACGTAAGCTACTAGCTTTTGCTCGCGTGTACTTTGGTCTGTCACATAAAGTTTTTCATCATCATCATCATTATTTCAGCCATAGGACGTCCACTGCTGAACATAGGCCTCCCCCAATGCTTTCCATGTTGATCGATTGGTAGCGGCCTGCGTCCAGCGCTTCCCTGCTACCTTTACGATGTCGTCGGTCCACCTACTATGTTCCCTGCCCATTGCCACTTCAGCTTGCTAATCCGTCGGGCTATGTCAGCGACTTTAGTTCGTTTACGGATCTCCTCATTTCTGATTCGATCTTGCAAAGAAACATAAAGTTTTTATCAATTCTAATAACCGGAATAAAAACTATCCTAATTGGCGTGAAAGAGTAACAAACATTTCATCCGTTTTTACAAACTTCCACACTTTATAATAGAATTAGTAGGGCATATTTTAATATCCACTACACTCATTATTCTAATTCTTTCTTCATTGCCATATTGTTTGTTGCTAAGTGCCATTACCCTAAAATGCAGACTCAATAAAGGCAACCTTAACATTCCGCATCAGTTTAAATGTAAAAAATATTTAAATCACTCTTTGAAAAAAATAAAAGAGAAACAAATACGAAAGAAAGAATATTAAAGAACAATTCCATTTCCCCTTTAAACTTAACGTCAAGAGCAAAACTGTTTGAGGGCGAATTAAAAACATTTTCACCCTTTCCTTTCCAATTAGCTGGCATAGTCGGTTAAAAACTCACGTCATTCTGAACCTTATTCGGTTGAGTTAGGAGTCAGGAAAATGCAAATCTTTAAGTGCCACGTGGCGGGCTCAACGACGTTCGATTAAAATGCAGTTTGGAAGCAATTGGATAGTTTTGGTGTGAAATTGACTGCGGATGATCCCAATTTGGGGTTTGTTTGGCTGCTTTTGTAGTTTATTAATTTGGATTATGAGCGAAACTGCTGAAGCTTATTAAATTCTTAGTTGGCAGAACGATTAACTTAATTTTTAAGCGCGAAAGCAGGTTTTGGGTAACTTCTTATTACATACTCAAATAATATGAATCAGGTTTTAAGTTGTATAGTTTTAAAATCTGTGTTTAAGCACAGTATTTTTGGGTACAAATTGATTTTCCCTAATCAGGCAAATTTTTCGTGTAATGCATAATGATGAGGGTAGTAAATAGTAGTTGCAATTATTAAATTAAAGAAAAACGATTTTTAATTATTACTTTTTAACACGTTGGGCGCCATGCGGCAGTTAATGACTTAATAAATTATTTTCAAAAGTAATACACTGGCGCTGACATCTTGCGGCGAATAGTAGTGTATCACAAAACGTTCTCGAAAGCACAATATGTGCTGACATCTATCATACAGTAGCAGCATCAAACTGTTGTGTGGTACTGCTATCTAGTGGCTAGTAGACGAACGACAATGTAGTGTTGAGTTCCAGCCGCCAAGAAGTTGTTACTTCTCTTTGTACAATTTAATAGATGGCAGCACTGGTAATCTTATTTTCTTTATCATTTTTTATCATAATAGATCAAAACTTTATTAAATTTGTTATTTATTGCATTAATAAATTTGCATTTGAATGAATTGTATGAACAAACAACAATAAAATTAGATTGTAAAGTGATAAGTTTCCAAAAGTCTCGCTAGATGGCGTTAGACACTGTAAAAATATAGGTTTCAAAGTAGGCATAATTTGTTCCTAATCTTCTATCTATATATATAAAAATGAAACCCGTTTTCCGTTGTCACGACATAACATGAAAACGGCTTGACCGATTTGGCTGATTTTTTATTTTGTAGTTTTCTAATACTCTGTACAAGGTTTTTACGGAAAAAAATATAAAGAAAATCTCTAAGCTAAGGCGGTACGAAGTTCGCCGGGTCAGCTAGTAAATTATAAATAAATAAAATAAATCATAGTAGATGTTTAAGTAGATTTTTTTTGTCCACAATGAGGAAGCTCTTGGCCTGATAGAAAGTGATGATCAGGCCGAGAAGGTCTGCTTCTCGGTCTGATCATCATTTCATTGAAGGACGCGAGCTTCATCCGGAATCCTCAACCACAGAACTACTTACCTCTACTTCACACATCTAAAGTAGTTATCTTCTAGTGAAAAATTTACATAAGATGTGATGTCGTAAAGTGAAGGACATGAGAGGGCATCCAGCAATCGTCCTTTATCCGAGATAATCTGCGGATACATCAGTCACAGCCGTCATCTTATCGAAGAGTCAATGCCCTCTGGTCCGGTAAAGGTGGATTCACATAAAATTCTATACCAACAATCTCTGTAACTTTGTAAGATGCTTCTTTTAAAATAGTGTACCTATAGATAGATAGAGTCAAGAATTAATTATTTTTGGTGAAAATTAATAAGGGTGGTGCAAAAAACTTTTTCATAGTCTTCTGAAAAAAATATTAAAGTAGGTAAAAAATATTGTTTAGGTCAAAAGTAGTTTTTCATGTCAAGGTTGAGTTAGAGCTGTTGCATTTTAAAATAGGTTCATTCGTTTCAGTCAAATGACGTTCACTGTTGGACAAAGGCCTCCTAAGGTTATTATTGGTTATATAGAGGTGAAAACTATAGGCTTTGACCAACTACACTGTATCTATGCAATTTATATATTTGTAAGCTGTTTGTTTTCTGAATAAAATAAAATAAAATAAATAATAAAAAATAAGGATTTCCACAATGACCGATCCTGCGCTGCCCCCATCCAGGCACCTCCCGCGACCTTCACCAGTTCGTCGGTCCACCTAGTGGGGGGCCTGCCCACACTACGTCTTCCGGTCCGTGGTCGCCACTTGCGAACTATTCTGCCCCATCGGTCATCAGCTGTGCGTGCGAGCTATGTGTCTCGTCCACTGCCACTTGATTTTAGCAATTCTGCGGGCTATGCCGGTCACTTTGGTTCTCTTGCGGATCTCCATAATTCTGATTCTATCAATTTTTAAAATAGGTAAAGAACGTTAATGATGTCTATTTTTGACCTTTATCTCGTGTAATCTTCATAGGACGACGACTTGTGACATCACAGCACATTTAAGTGTGAATGCACCTCAGCACGAGTTGTTATCGCTGAACTTTCACGAAGCCTTTTATCATGAAAAATCTAAAGGAGTCATGGGTTATTTGTGTTTATTCTCGCTGTTGTAAACAAGTTATCTTATGATAATGAATTGACGCTTTTCATGTTTTATTTAGAATAATAACAATGTAACATTGACGTCATAGCTTAATGGACACTGAAACAAAAATGATTTAGTGGGCAGTACTTTTATTTCAGGCTAATATCCTACTTATGAACATTTAACATCGTTTATTACACTCCTACAAATAAAAGATGCGCAGAACCAAATAATAGCATGTCTTGGAGCTATTTTAGTACCTAAAGGTATGATTAATTTATCATGACGATTAGCTTACATCTGCCCATAAGAGTAATCTCGGCTAGCCTTGACCGACACTAACTTGGATGCAAAACCGGCTTGTTACTTGTCATTTTAATAGGGGAGAGCCCATGCAATTTGCACGCACAAGCCAGAGCTTGTGTGCCAGAACCGATGCAGACATCGGTTAGGGGTCTATAGTGTCATCTATTTTATAATCTATCCCTTTCACTCGTATAGAGATGCTGGTAAGAGCGACAGCAACAGAATGACGTTTTTGATTTGTAGAGACATTATTTTAAATTGCATCAACCCTATGTTTATTTTGCAGACCCTTGCATTATATTCAAATCAAAATGAGATACGCAAGATTTGTCTACTAAGTTATGTAGTATGCATCAAGAGTTCCGGGCATAAAAGTGTAAATCAATAAAAATGCCCAAAGTTGTACAAACACATGGAATTACTTTCTCACGACATCGGTCGACCGCCGCCTCCGAGTTCAACATGTAGAGCCAGTCCTTATTATTATGCATGATAGAGTCATAGCAGTCATAGCGACTGAAGCGATTGCTATGATAAATAGTTATTTGAATGTCTGTAAATCATTATCTAGCCTGAGTCAAGTGTAGTGGAGAAATATTTTTTTATGATTTTATTTAATTAAGCTTATACTTACCGAGTAAATTACATAAAGCGTATTTTTGATGTCATAATTTTTAGACACTGACTCAATACTGAAGCACTGATACTGAACTGAGCGAATGAAACGTTAACGTAACTGTGGATGGTGTGAATCGACCATTATTCATTCATTGCTCTTTTTCGACGACGATAGTCTTACCAAATAATTTAAAAAAAAATCTACATTATTTTGGCCTGAGTATAAAGGTCAGTTCCAGGAGAAATAATTCGGCAAAATACATAAATAGATAAATAATAATAATAATAAATAAATCTTTGGACAATTTCACACAGCGCCAGCTAGCCCCAAAGTAAGCAACTTAATGCTTGTGTTATGGGTGCTAGCTTAACGGATATACTACTTATATACTTTTTTTTTTAAATACATAAATATTATAGGTACATAGTCACACCCAGACCCGTCACAGAAATTAAAATTCATCATTTCAATTTCTGCCCGGCCGGGAATCGAACCCGGGACCTCTCGGCATAGTAGTCCGTTCTGAACCACTACACCAAACGGCCGACAATAGATCATAGCAACTAGTGGCCATGACCACACACGATGCGCCCTTGTCAGTGTCAGTCATCCCGCTTATCGCCGCGCTCGCGCATCTTATTTGTTTTGTCCTGTATCAGTCGCTATCTACACGCGAGGACGAACATACGTACATGTGAGTTACATTTTATTATTTTCTAATAGACTTTCGGTTGGTCTAACAGTAGTTACTTATGGCTGAAAAGTGTTAGGTACTGTTTTCTTTTAGAATATTTTTCGCTGCGTTTTGTTTATCGCTGTTTTGAGTTTTCTTTCTGTCAAATGGAAAGTGTTAAGGCGAATCGTTTGCCATTATTGTAAATTAGTAAAATATGGTAGCAACAAAAAATAATTACTTTCAAAGGATTTTTTTTAGTAGCTGTTGTAACAAGAATTTGCATAGAACTAATCGAACAAGAAATTTTACAATAGATCAAACTATTTGAATATATATTGTAAAATAAATTTAAAAACAATAGTAATCTAGAACTTTTTTCTCTAGAACTAATTAATGGAACGAAAGTACCTGTATAGTTATTTAAATAATATATTGTTTACTATATACCTACTTCATAGCCCAAAATATGTACAAAAACCGTGCTGTTTCTGGATATTTCATTTTTTTTCCAATGTGTACTTACCTAGATAATTTGAATTTGCTTTTGTGTTCGCATTAAAAGAATTTAAATAATATTTCTTTCATGCGTAGATTTTCTTCTTCTTTCAATTAATCTGTTACTCTGTGTAATTATAAAAAGTGAAGTAATGTTTGCTAATTTTTGTGTTAGTATTATCACAATATTATACTAACTTTATTTTTAAGAATTTTGTTACATAAAAAGGATAAATAAACTAACATTAGCCCTTGCCGGCGCGCGCGCCGTCACATGATGCCAGTTTCCGCCGGCGTCCGCTAGGGGCGCTGCTGTGCGCCTATTTATAGTACAGTCAACACATCAATAGATATAATTGACACAAACAAGATAGCCACGAACACAATCACAGAATAAGTAATATAGTACAGGACACAATTCCGTGACATTTTTAAATAGATTTCAAGTAAGTGAATAAGTGATCTATAGCCTGACCAGGAACATAAAAACCCTCGCCATGTTGCGGAAAACTAATGGTACTAATTTCTTTTAATGGCAACAGTAACTGAAAACTTCATTGTCATGTCACCTTGCATGTCAGTCTATTGTTGTCAAAGTGTAAACAAACTTTATTTTAAATGTGTGCAATTGATTTTGTGAATTAAATTGCTAAAATATTTTTATAGTCGTGAAAGAAAAGTGGTTCACGGTGTGTTAATGTATTTGTCGAAGAGAAATACTAAGGGTTCGGACAATATTTTCATTGAATAATGTTTCCGACAAAGGTTGTCAAATTGACTGACATGTTTATCGTATAGTACAGTCCACTATGAAAATTAGCTGTAGTCTGTTTCAACTACCCATTTTAAAGCTTTTTGTTACTTTCTAAGTTTTGAATTTTATGGAATTGGGAAAGAAGTACCGAGTTTGAAGCGTTCATGAGCAGACATTGCAGTTGAATATTCAAGTTCTGAATTTGATTATTGATGAATAATAAAATAAATCCTACTAGCTCGATTGATGGTTTCATTTAATTTATTTAAACCAGGTTACCTTTAAAAACCCACATGAGGGTAAAAACCCAATAAAAACCCGTTTCATTCCACCCGTGGGTGTTTACACCGGGTGAAAACAAATAATTTTATAATTATTTCAATTGGTATCTTTTCTTTATTTTTATTGAATTTTTCTCATTTAAGTTTATTGATTAATAAGTAATAAGTCAAATTTAACACTAATATGCATTTATATCGTGGCCAAATCGTAAAATTGATCACGTTATGATGTTGTGACCAATTATTTTATAAAATGGTGTTATTTCAAGAATCGTTGAACCGATTTAAAAGAAATTTAGTAGGAACACAATAATAATTGTGGTCATGGCAAGGACATGGAGGGGGGGATGCCAAACTCTCTCTTTGATGACATTACGGTATAACGTTACAAATAACAACACCAACTACAAAGTACCTACTTCTGCTTGAAAACTTGAAATCGACCGCCCTTCCGCCACTGTAACGCATTGTAACGTTTTTCAAGACCTCCTCTCCCCCCAGATTGCATTACGTAACACTAGAACGCCCCCTTAGCAACAAATACCACTTCTCACTTTAAAAAAACGCTATTTTTGTTTTCACCCACCAGAATGGGTGATAATGGGTAAAAACCGGGTTTTTACCCAAATCACCCAGTTTAAACCCAATCGGGTGAAATGGGTTTTTACCCACTACCCATCTCTACCGGCGACAGCTCGCCTTCACGGCGGACCCTACACGCCCCACTTGTGGGGGTCCGATGGGAATGGCCCGAAACGCCAAGCCGTTCCCGTCAGACGGAGGTGACAAGGGTGCCCCCGCACCCCCGGCCTGCTGGCCGCCACCGGGGGGCAGAGTAAAACGGTCGTACAACCACCTTCTCCATCTGCGGAGTGATGAGGCGAGAGGATTGTTCTCCCGCTCGCGCTCCGTTGCCTCCTTCTGAAGGATGACCTCTTCGCAAAAGGAGGCGACCGCCATCCAGCATCCTCCAGTTCCCAGCATGGCGCTGACCAGGCTCGGAAGCGAAAGATCCCGGCCCACACGGTGAGGACACGGCGCTGCTCCTCCTAGCCTGTGCAAACCGCGAGGGTGTGCTGCACCGTGTCATCCACCGCGCCGCATTTGTGGCACAGCGGGGATTCCTCTCGCCCGATCCTATGCATGCATATACGAACCGAAGCAGCCATGCCCGGTCAGCACCTGCGCCAGAAAGAACGTGAGGAACCCGAGCGGTCGTTCCAACCATTGATCCAGAACAGGACCAATGCACAATGGCGGCCAAACTGCGCGCGAGTCATGTCTTCCTTCCAGCGGTCGATCATGATCTCGCGCGCTTCCTGCCTGACGGCGCCGCGCCGCTCCGGGGCCGGGCGCTTTTCACGCGCCTTCTGGACTGCCATCCAGTGATAGATGACAGACAAGACCCCAGCTTCTACCTCCCAAGGAGGAGTACCAGCGAGGACGCACGCCGCAGCAGTGCCCTACCGTGCGGTAGGTCCTCGCGACTTTTTGCGCTATGGCCCGCTGGGGCCAGCGCAGAAGGGCAGCATTCTCCCTCTTGTTGAGTGCGTCCGCCCAGATTGGGGCGCCATACAGCGCCATGCTCCTCAGAACGCCGGCATAAAGTCGACGACACCTCGTTTGTGGCCCTACCAAATTCGGGAGGAGCCGACTCAGTGCGCCGGCTGCCTTGAGGAGGCGTGGCGCTAGCCCGTTAAAGTGCAGGCTAAAATGCCACCTCCCTTCAAGCGTGAGGCCCAGATATTTCATCTGGCCTTTGACGTCAATCCTAACGTCCTCAACCACAATGTGGGCGTCGGAAGGGGCGCGCTGGCGAGGCCCCGGAAAGAAATTCTGCGAGCGACTAATGTGCCGCCCGCCGACGCCAACCGTTCCGCGGCCCCAAATGTCTTCCCCAGGCAGTGACCAGAGTGTCATCCGCATCGCATATGACACTCATGCCAGCGAGAAGGACGCCCCGGAGGNAATTGCAATTGAAGCGCCTCTATGCCAGGGTTTTTATGTTCCTGGTCAGGCTATAAAATTGGTTTACAAGTTTTAGATGGTTCCTTTGTTTTAAGACAAAACTCTAGGGTCAATAAATACTATTTCGTTAATCTTTTCATAGCAAAACTGCACTAAAGTAAAACATGTGTGATGACTTTATTTATGCAATTAACACACATTAAAAATGCAGCACTAACGGATCCCACCGTCAGCAAGATATTAAAACCTTTGCATAAAAAAAATACCACGTTATTGAACTATTTTGGTGGTCGATAACTTTTTTAATATGATAAGTAGGTATGCTAAACCTTGATAAAAAATAAATAATAAATTATTGCCTTGCTAATAATCAAGATTCACAGGATGTTTTTTTAAGATGATGTTCTAAGATTACCCAAAAAAGTTCTTTTTTCATACAACTGAATTGAAAACCCATTTTTTTTTATTTTAAAAGTAGGTCAACATTAACATCGTCAATTCTCCCACCAGCAACCAAAATGTCAGACGCAACCAGCCTCCTGGAACCAGGCAAGGAGATCCGCCCGGTCATCGACCACGACGGAGTCAAGCTCCTCGTGGAACGCCTCTACGGGATCTCAGCTCTGGAACTGGTGGAGATGGACGGCTACGACGACAAGAACTACAAGATTGTTGAGGATCCCAACGTGAAGAACCCATTGATCACGAACCACAGCCCGCATGGATATGTGCTGAAGATCATGAACTCGATGGACTCGCAGAAAGTCAATGTGGTTGAGGCACAGAACGAGATTATGAATTTCTTGGGTGAGTTTGTGTCTTTTTCTTAATCGGTTTATCATACATCGTCAGTATGTAGGTCTTTGACCTAAGCTTCGTAGAGACCTTCAAGATAATTTCTAGGCCACTGCTATTAGCAACTACCAATCTACCAAGGTCATACCTACCAATCGATAGTAAGGGAGGCATGCAGGTGTTTATTTATTTTAAAACGCACCTATACTATATTGAGTGAGATTAGGTAGACTCCACTAAGTACATACTACGAGTTGCTACGAGTACTACGACACTACATTACAGGGAAATATTATGTCATTCTTCATAATACCTTCTTCCAATTTCTACCTTTATCCACTTAGCGGGAAAAAAGAGGAACTGAAATACAGGACTATTTGGGAATAGTCCTGAGAGGTGGGCCTCTCGTTCGCACATTTGAAACGGCTCTACTACAAGTGGTATCGTTTTGACGGTTATCTAAAAATGTAAATTTAGTTTTTGGAGGCACTAATGCCCTCTCCTTTTTCAATGGGATGCCTTCTTTCTAGTCAAGATACTGCCAGATTAAGCGTAAGGATGTCCTACACATGATACCAATTTCCACTTAGCTCCAATTCGAAATCTCACCAAAGCTTTTTCCTCCAGCCACCCGCTCGGTAACCTGCCCCAAGCCAGTCCGCAACGTGTACGGTCACCTGCACTCCATCGAGACCATCAACGGCAAGCAGCACGCGGTACGACTGCTAGAGTTCGTGCCTGGAGAGCTGCTGAGCAACGTGCCGCAGTCGGAGGCTCTGTTCTACCAGCTTGGAGAGTTCGTGGCTAATCTGGATAATAAGCTACAGGTACGGATTAGAATAGAATTACAATTTTATTTGATACAATTGTCGTTTGCCTCCTATCACATAAAAAAAAAAATACAAACCAAAAGGAGAACCTAGAGCATGGAATCGTTGAATCGTCCATGCTCTGAGGAGAACCAAAGTATATCTCGCAGAATCGCCAAACCTAAGTGACCGGAAGATACTTGGTGGATTGACGACCTAGTGAAGATCGTGGGAAGTACCTGGATGCGGGCATCGCACGATTAGTCGTTGTGAACATCCTTGGAGGTACAGCAGTGCACGTCTTTTGATTGAAACGATTTGGGATGATGCATGGCTTTTTATTCATTTAAAACTACCTATCGTTCTTGGGGAGATAGAACAATGTCTCAGTGATTGGGTCGCTCGGCTCTATTGAGTCCAATTGATTTCCTTACAGATCCGTCTCAATTGACGGGGACTTGACTATTGAACATTGTTGTATTTACTAGAGAACATTTTGTTGCGATAGGTTTTTAAACCCGAATAATAATATGTCAGCTGCTGTGGCGTGTTTGAATCCCATCGGGGACATTATGTTGGTGTGATAAGCACGACTATTTATGGAACATTATGTTACCGTCACATTACACAGACGACGGGGCATACATTAAGTCAAAATCTGGCAATACTCTTATACCAAAAAATATATCATAGACACGAGTAGGTCTCGTACTTGCCTTCAATTACTGAGAACATGTTTCTACGTTCATGAATCCTTTTAGTTCAGAATTCGCCTGATATTCAGGCACATGAGTCACTAAACATGCGTTATTCAACAATGATTTCCAAGCCTTCAGAGTTTACACTTGAAAACATTGCATGAAAATGACCATAACTATACGGATCTATCACCTCTGACCTTGGCGCAATGGCGGTGTGTAGGTACGTGCGGGCATTGCAAATGAGCTGTTGCGGCCATTCATAACTCATACGTACCATTGTCACGTCAACGTATCCGTTATACCAAGGCTTGGCAGGTAATTCAGATAATTCAACTTGTCCGAGAGAAAATAGGTAAAATTAGGTAACTACTGTTGTTGTGGTAGTTTTAAAGAAGATAATTGGTTTGGAATTCCACTAGTTTCTGAGTAAAAATCACCACAACGTTTTTTGCATTGTTCAACATGACCACCGAATATAAATTATTGTCGTTACCAAATTAAGATTTCCCGCAGACAACAGACTTTTAGTCGGCTGTCCTATAGTTGGGTGGGCCCGATTCTAATTTGTATGAAGAATCGGCCTATACGAATGTGCGAACTTCCATACTAAACTTGTTCATACTGATTAAAAGCCCGACCAAAAGTCTGTAGTCTGCGGCTAGGCTTAGATTGATTCAAGCCTCAACATATTATCTGAAGGTATAGAAGGAGGTACCAAAAGTTATGGATTAACAAAATAGGTTCGTATATTCCGAAACCAAGTCAAAAAGTTATTTGTCAGCTGGAATCCCATTTTTATGTTTAGTAGAAAATATCAAGAATTGAATAGAATTACATTCAGCATGTAACATTTAGGTGCATACATGTCATATTGAATTTGATTGTGGCATGCTCAGTAGAAATCGTGACATTTCGACAAGTCGTCAAGTCACGAAGCTGGTTTTCAGCGGGTAGGTACCAACGCACGACGGGGATTAAGCGCCCTTTTGATAGTGACGGTTTATAGATTTTTCGTGTCGGTTCGTAGTATACTTACCTAGCAATAAAAAACATACCAGCCGAATTGAGAACCTCCTCCTTTTGTTAAAGTCAGTTAAATAGGCGCGAAAAGGAGGCTTTGTGGTTAGTAAAAAATAATAATAACAATACAGATCGATTTGGAAAAAAAAATTGAAGATACAATACACCAACAACAAAATAATATTACTGCAATGCTCCACCGCCAGAAGGCAGTACAAATTAAAAATAGTTCAATAAAACAAGTAGTGTTGTTTTTGATTACCTGGAAACATTGAATTTTAGGATAGTTCCAGTTTATTCTGTAACCTATTATTGGTACCATTTGAAGGAGCTCGTGAAGCACTTTCAGGATCAGTGACAGTTTTTCGATATCTTGTATAGTTTAGAAATAATCGATTGCAATCACTTATCGTTTCCACCCTGTATACCTTCGGATTTTAAACTTCAAGTGCTTGTCTTTCAGAACTTCAACCACTCAGGGCTGGCGTCGCACGAGCACATGTGGATGCTGACCACGGTGCCTCTACTCGAGAAGTTCAAGTACGTCATCAAGGACGCCGAGAAGCTGGACCTGGCGGAGGAGGTATGTTCAGGACGTCTCTAATGACATCGCAAAAGTCTGCCTTTTTCTGGAGTAATGTCAATACCTGGACGCAGGCCGCTACCAATCGATCAACGTGGAAAGCATTGGGGGAGGCCTATGTTCAGCAGTGGACGTCCTATGGCTGAAATGATGATGATGATGATGAATGTCCATACCCAAGTCTTAAAAAATACTTCATTGTAGCCTGAAGACTGAGTTTGGCTGTTATATTAAATGTTTAATAGCTTTGAAATCAATAAATTGTCAATAAATGAGGGCTATCGTTTTAGCGCTCACCAGTTAGCGCCACTGTAGAGTAAGGTCCTGTCACTTGCTAGTAGCGAAGACAGTGGCGCCAACTTGTGAGCGCTAAAGTGGTAGGAGGACTATCGCATTTGCACTCATCAAGATGGCGCCACTGTAGAGTAAGGTCCTGTCAATCGCCAGGGGTGCCAACTGTTAAGTATAAAAACGATAGCCCTCATTGAGTCCACCTGATGACAATGATACTTTCAAATTCTAAGGCACTGTCAAGTTTATGAGTCCGAAAACACCATGGCGCTTTTACCCTTTCTTCTCTTTTTACCTTCTCTTACTTAGAAAATAAAAATGAAATAGAACAAATCTTGTGTAGGTATTTTATAATGTGTGGGATATGTCATGTCCTGATTGTATTTATGATTTGATTACAGGTTATCGAAGAGTTCAAATACGCAGTAGTCCCACGACTGGACGAACTGGAGAAGGGCGTCATCCACGGTGACGTCAACGTCATGAACGTGCTCGTCACGCCCAAGCCCGGCAGGTACGTCATAGTTAACCCTTCTGGGGTTCCGTACTTTAAAAGGAAAAGGGAACCTTGAGAGCTCTTTCAAATAAGATTTTTGAAGGAGTCCGTTTGAAAGAGCTCTTAAAGATTACCTTGTAGTTTCCATAGGATTCAGATAGACGAATTCCTGGTTAAGATTTCCAAGTTAAATTTTAATCTACAGGCTACTGAATATAGTTTATTTTACTAATCACATTTTTTTTCCTTTACAAACTTACATTTTGCACCATGATAGTATGAGAAATCAGTTTTTCATACTATCATTTTTTTGCATAAAACTTTGTGAATATCCTTTGTTTACAATGTGTTTTGAAAGCGTCTTAATAAAATTGGCGCATAAAAGTATAGCCCTCGAATTCAAGATCTTTGTGAGATGAAACAAGCCAGCAACTGCTATCTAATCAGCCATCAGTTATCACCAGTCAACTTTTGTTTGTTTTCGTTGTCGTGATAAATAATTTTGTAATACAAGAGCATCGTGTGTTTTAGCATGACGTCGCGTTGTACAGTAGGCACATGAGACTATAAAATATCGGTTTGTTGAAAAATGGCATCTATTGCAACTGCATACAATCGTATGCAGTTGCAATAGATAGCTCAACCCAACAAACTATGGGGAATCCCCCATAGTTTGTTGGGTTGAGCTGTAGACTGTACATTTTGGTTCTATCAAGATTACTGTTGAAGACTTATGACAATATTTTGCTTCGGAATCACCAGTGATCTATCGCATCTAAAAGTAGGCTTTACAAATCTTTAAAATGGGTAATATTAGGATAACGTTTTGTGTTTTAAATTAGGGGCCATCCATAAATTACGTCATCGATTTTTTCAGATTTTAGACCCCCCCCCCTACAATCATCCTAGCGTCATTTCTTAATGACCCCCCCCCCCTTCTCCCAAAATTGACGTCATTACCAGTTTGACAAAATTAAAACACTTGTAGAATCACCTTTTTTTTTAGAGTGATTCTTAAGGAAGGTTTATATGTATGTATAATACATGTAAGTACCACGGGCGAAGCCGGGGCGGGCAGCTAGTATTATATGTAATCAGTAGCGGCGGAAGGGGGGGGGGCGGTGGGGGCGATCCGCCCCGGGTGCCAAGCATCAGGGGGTGACACAAGTCGCGCAGATTAGTACTCCCTGCACATCTGCATGGCAAATCTGCGGTCTATGTCATGATACGGGGGGGTGGGCCCCCCCCCCCCCTAATTTTGAATGACGTAATATATGGACGGCCCCTTATGTAATTTTGGTATAAATTAAAGCAGTTTCTTACTTACCATTGAAATAGCAAATTGACCCCATCGGTGACAATCAATCATGTTGAGGTGAGCCAAGAGTACGAACTTTTATCTCTGTCGCTCACTCCTGACCGCTGGAATATGTGAGGGAGATGGATAGAATCGATTGGAAAGTAGACTATTGTTGTTGATGCTTAGTACCTTGGCTTCACACTCAGATGACCATGAGGATCTAAGCCTTGTCGCTTCTTCGGTTATTAATACAAATTTGTAATGTCTTAAAATAACACTAAAACTAATATTTTCCGCAAAAATCTTCCAAATTATTTCAAAAAGTAAATTAACAAAACATTTTATGTACCTAACTGACCAAATCCTTTGGGGGCGGCCTTTGTCCAGCAGTGGACGTCTTTCGGCTGAAACGAACGAACGAACTGACGAAAATATAAGAAGTTCTCTCTTTAAATAAAAAAATCGGTGTGCATAAACACGGTTTATTACCGCTCATTCACATACAAACATACAATACAATATTTATTTTAATGATGGTCTTTAATTATCAACCACCTTTAGTATCAAAAGTCTCTGCTCTTCCAATCTACCCAGATTAAGGCTTAGAGTCAGTATCTACACTTAATATTATAAAGAGGAAAACTTTGTTTGTTTGTTTATTTGTTTGCTTGTAATGAATAGGCTCAAAAACTACTAGACCGTTTTTAAAAATTCTTTCACCATTCGAAAGCTACATTATCCACGAGTAACAATGACATAGGCTAAATTTTATTTTGGAAAAAAATAATGTTCAGGGGTCCACGCGCGCAAAGCCGCGGGCAGAAAGCTAGTCGATAATAAATTAATGTAGAATTAGATTGCTGTAGTTTATTCCACGCCAAATCATTTAGTAATCTAATCTTTCAAATTGAACTTCCATAAAGTGAAGTAATAATAAACTTCCATTCTCCTCCCCCAGCGAGTCAGAATACCGAGTGACCGGCATCATCGACTTCGGCGACATCCAATACTCGTACTACGTGTTCGAGGTGGCCATCGCCATGACGTATGTCATGCTGATGACGGGTGACCCTCGTTCCGGGGCTTTAGTCTTGGCGGGATACACCGTCAGCCGCCGTTTGCCTGACCACGAGTATAGGCTGCTGAAGGTAACTACAATAATTTACCTTACAACTCATCATCAGGTCATCATTTGATGATCTGGTCCAGCCGCCATTACGAACACTTTTGGCTGCTGAAGGTAAGTCGTTTAGTATCTTTATCATCATCGCCATGATGTAGACACGTCATGCTGATAACCGGCGACCCACAATCCGGGGCTTTAGTCTTGGCGGGATATACCGTCAGTCGCCGTTTGCCTGACCACGAATATAGGCTGCTGAAGGAAAGGCTTCATCATTACATAATCCAACGTGTAATCGAGGTCCACTGCTATTTTGATCTTAGATTACCTCATCATCACCAGTAATAGGTCCAGCAATCACTTGCCCAGACAAGAGTTGGAATATTTTACAGGCTGCAGAAGGTCAGTGGTTTTATAACAACAACGGGCTCTTGACCTAAATCTCAATTTATGGACTGTCATGATCAGGTCAAAGACTTCGTTCAATTGTTGATCAAGGTCAAAGGTTAAGGTGAGCTTCAACCGGAATCATTACCGGAATTCTCACCATAGTGGAACTTGCTATCTTACCTCCAACTGCCGCAAGAACAATGCTGTTAACATTGTTGCTATACTGATAGACTCAGGTAAGACGATGACAGCTAGCTAGGTGGAATTACAACGAATCCTACCACCAATCACTATCACTAGTACAACTTTAAAAAAATTGATAATTACTCTTAACTCTTCACCCGGAAACAAAAAATAAACCCTATCTCTTTAACTTCCAGACCCTCATCTCAGCGCGCCTAGTCCAAAGCCTGGTCCTGGGCGCCTACACACTGGAGCAAGATCCCAAGAACACCTACGTCACGGCCACCGAGAAGGCCCACGGCTGGGACCTGCTCCGCAAGATCCGCAAGACCAAGCCCAGCGCTGATGAAACAGACCCCACGGATTGGAAGACCATCGCCAATGAGTACTTAACCAAGAGTTAAGTCAAGATTCAAGATCAATAGGTAAGAGTAGGGCTGCTTTAAGGCCGACTCGTATCGCCCTTTTTTCTATTTTTTTTGTCAGAATGTAAAAAAATAATTTCGTTGAATTCAATTTGAAAAACGAACACTTCAATTTTTTCTTTGTTTTGAGTGAACGAGCGTTAGTCCAGTCATTAAAGCATTATAGATGGAAAACTGTAGAACACAATTTCTGAATTCAGGACTTTATTTAGACTAGTTAGGAGGTGAACATAGCAAAAGTCCCCGCCCTTAGCCCTTGAGCCGGCGGGGTGAGGGGGGTTTAAAGGTGCCACTTTTCGGTTTTTCGCTTAATCCTCGAAAACTATGCGTCCTAGTGACATGACTACTATGAACCAAAAAATGCATATTCAATTTGCTACAGGTGAGATAGTCAAGTTTTTCTCTAAATTGTATAGTTTTCGCGGCATCAGCTCTAGAAGGTCTGTAATATTGGAAATTTTATTTTTGTCTTACATGTTCCCATCAGGAGAAAATCGACTAAATCAACATTGAGCAATCATTCTAGACATGCGGGAGCATGTTAAGCCTAGTTCCAGGGAGGGGACTGCCCCGTGCGTATATTTAGACGAACCACTTTGAGCCACTTTTGACTCCTCATCACTCAAAAAGTACTGTGCATTAACACTTCAAATTTGGCTCATGTGTTGAGACTTGCAAGATATACATCAGCTTTAAATTTCATAAATATGCCTCAAACGGTTATTTAAGTATTGACGTCCAAAAATCTACATGTCTGACCTATAGACCAAATTCTAACCACTTCCAGATGACCTCGAAGGTTCAAATTTGGCATCCAGAAAGGTAGTTATGTAAATACAAAGGAACAAATAAAAAACCAGTAAATTTTAACATTTCACAGGTGATAGATAGATTTTAGTGTTCGAAATGTCGATTTTTGAACGTCAATACCTAAATAACCGTTTGAGGTATATTTATGAAATTTGAAGCTGATGTATATTTTGCAAGTCTCAATACATGAGCCAAATTTGAAGTGTTAATGCACAGTAGTTTTTGAATGATGAAGAGTCAAAAGTGTCTCCAATTGGTTCGTCTAAATATACGCACGGTGCAGTCCCCTCCCTGGAACTAGGCTTAACATGCTCCCGCATGTCTATAGTGTTTGCTCAATGTTGATTTAGTCGATTTTCTCCTGATAGGAACATGTAAGACAAAAATAAAATTTCCAATTTTACAGACCTTCTAGAGCAGATGCCGCAAAAACTATACAAGATACAGAAAAACTTGACGGTCTCGCCTGTAGCAAATTGAATAAGCTTTTTTTGGTTCAAAGTAGTCATGTCACTAGGACGCATAGTTTCCGAGGATTAAGCGAAAAACCGAAAAGTGGTACCTTTAAACCCCCCTCACCCCGCTGGCTCAAGGGCTAAGGACGGGGACTTTTGCTATGTTCACCACCTAACTAGGCTAAATAAAGTCCCGAGGTCAGAAATTGTGTTCCACGGATTTCTCTCTACACCGTCGTTAAGGCATTCATTGACTGGACTACGTAGTGTATGGCCAGTTATGAAACATTCCGTTATAAATTGAAATTAACTTACAGCATCTTAATTTTTTTATGGTAACATTGATTGGTAAACTAACTGCTCAAATTATTATTAAATCAGTATACAAATTGGTAATCATGTATATTATTATTATTTATGTAGTTAGTGCATTTTATTATATTTTTGTAGATATTTTAATTTACATAAAATATTATTTTTGCTAAAGTATTATTATTGTAGTATTTTATGGTAGACATTGAAAGCACTTGGGATGTATAAATTAGAACTAATGATGAAGTAGTTTTTAGTTAAATGCATAATAATTATAATAAGGTAAGTCAGTAAATAATTTTGTTACTTATTATTTTATTATACTGAGTATTAAATAAAGACTGTAATTTAAATTTTGTGTAGTTTTCTTAGATTTTACCTCTTAGATACTTATCCGTAGAACTTAGAATTTGTTGGATATTTGTATTTTATAGCATTTTTATTGTTTTAGAAGTAGTCGATGTCTACGGCTACTAGCCTGGCTTTTTATAGCGAGTAACCACGCTAAGATAAATATCCTTATGAATTTTACTAGGCAACAAAGTCTGAGAACGAGAATTTGCCGTAACTACTTACTAGGCGTTCTAAAAGGTTCTAAAACTTTAAGGTAAGTTTAGTTCGTTTTATTATTATGTAGTACCTACTTTATTTTTTTGGATTGTCTTGTACATTTTTAATCACTGAAACTAGTTGTCATATTTTATTTCATCACATCTTTCTTCTTATTGCATCGTTTTGTTAAGAACTGGCCGCCTGTCCAGCTGTGGCCACTGCAGTCTTAAACAGTTGCTCAACTCATGATTTATTTATTGGTTAACTGCTAGAATCCGATCGTATCTTAGAGCCTGATGATGTATGATCCATCGCACACCCAAGCCAATGCACTCCGATACAATCGGTATCGAGTATCGATACATTCATCACTTCAGCATCGATTAATATAATCGGTGTTATCGAGAGATCGTATGTCTACCGTGTTGAGGTGGTATATTTCGTGTCATAAAAACCGATTACATATTTTATTTGTCGCACAAGTTTTATCATTGAATACACAGGATTGAATACCTGTTGAGTAGGAAAATAATACTTGTCATTTTAAAACAAATGACCAATCTTTTAAAGAGAGATGTTGTAAGGAGAAATGTTTTTCTACTGGGTTAATTAAATATTTGCAATTAACAGATTCTCGTGAATCACTTTATATCTTCCTTGAAAGATCTAAAAGACGTTAAAATTCAAAAGCTGGATGTAGAAATATGTATGCTATTTAAAATTTAACTTAACATAACTATTATTAATTTTTTTAAGTAAGTATAACCCACATTATTCTTACACAACACTGTCTGGATTGTACCTTAACGATATGAATTTATAGTAATTGGTTATAAAATATTGATTTCATTAATTTGTATCCTAAACAAAATAAGTAATGGCATACCTATCTTTAAGAGATTTAGCGAATAAATCAAACAATAACTCCAATTACTTATCCTCGAATAAGTGCAGCTTGAACAAATTGGCGCAGGTACGACCACATTAAGCTTTACACTGTAGCATCTTATTACATTGTAATATGAGCGAGTTTACAACAAAAATGAAAAGTCTAATAAGCTAGCTGTTACATTCTCTGCATTGAAAGTAACACTACAGATTAATAACTCGTATGGTAAAAACTAAAACATAAATCATACACAGACGTGTGCACGTTAACATTAACAAATGATCTTAAACAATTATTTTCGTATTAGTCATATGCAGACAGATGCTTGTGTAATGACGGATTAGTAAGAGTAAATCAAGCTGATCTGGCACTCTTTAAATCTTAAGGTAGGTAGGATTGCACAATGTGGAACGTCTTGGTAAAATATTTTGACCATTTCCGCTTATAAATTGCTGTCAATTTCTCAACATATTTATAGCCTCGCACACACCAATGATGGAGATAGATTGATTTAACGTAATAACTATGATTTTATTAAATGTTGATCTTCGCTAATTGGAATGTCACAAATTGACTATTAATGTAAAAAAATGCAACAGTCGCAAAGAAAAGCAAAAAGAGAATAATATAATTCTTGCTTTATGGTTGTGGTCATGGTTAAAAACAAAATCCTTATTACAAAATAAGGTTTAACACTAAGCCTTGCAGGGTTTTTGCTAGTAAGTATAGTCTTAACATGAGATGAGAGGTCAGTAAGTATTATTTAATTAGTTTTATCAAATCAAAATATCTCCTTTTGCTTTCTTAGCTGTTCTTTTGTAAATCTATTTAGTTAACTCAAGGCTCGTTAATTTAACATTTCAGCAAAATACAAAACCTTGTCCATTGTGACCACTCCTTAAAACATCTTAAGTTTCTTTGCTATAATTATTGTAATTACCAAGCTTTGACCTTGTCCAAATAAGTTAAAATTAAATCTTAATTTTATAATTAAGACCGTTACAAAAACTCTTAGGATTGCCAGTTAGTTTGAATGACTGGATGAAGATTAGCCAAGTCTATCTTTAGATTATTTAACCTTGTTGTTCGTCTAATTATTTTGCAAATTCAATAAGTTTAACTGTCAAAACATCCAGACTTTAGAAATGTTATTACAATCTTCTTCAATTGACTACTTATTGCTGAGGTTCGTGAATTCGTGATGATTATTTGGTGAATGAAAAGCACTTAAAAATAGCGATTTCTTTAGTGACCTTTCTAAGTCTTCCAATTTATCTATTGTGACTCGATTCGCGGAGCTTGAAGAGATAAGCTGATAATACCTAAATAGGTGCCCCATACTAGGTGGACCGACGATCTGGTGAAGGTCACGGGAGGTACCTGGATGCGGGCAGTGCAGGACCGGTCGTTATGAATATCCTTGGGGGAGGGCTTTGTCCAGCAGTGGACGTCATTTGGCAGAAGTCGCTGAACAAATAAGTGCGACTTATACAGGATGTTAAATCCCAACTAATATTATAAATGCGAAAGTAACTCTGTCTGTCTGTCTGTCTGTCTGTCTGTTACGCTTTCCCGCTTAAACCTCGTAACCGATTTTGATGAAATTTGGCATAGAGATAGTTTGAGTCCCGGGAAAGAACATAGGATAGTTTTTATCTCGGTTTTTGAAACAGGGAAGCGCGCGATAAAGTTTTTCTGTGACAGACAAAATTCCACGCGGGCGAAGCCGCGGGCGGAAAGCTAGTGGGTTTATAAGCCGACATTAGCCCATGTTAACATATGCATATATGTATAAATGGTATGATGAAGACAGAAAATTGATATCATCATACCTAACACCCTGTATAATTTAAAACGAATATCGACAAGCCGGATAAAACTAATCAATGTAACATAGCAATTAATTTGTAAGTATACCAAGGATACCTAAATTGCTCTAGGAAAAGTTAAGTCAATAAAATCTTTATCTA